GGCAAGGAGCTGCTGCTGTGTAGCAATGCCAGCTGCTGCAGGTGCTTCTGTGTCAAATACTTGGTAGGGCAAGGTACGTCGGCCAAGGCAAAAGAGCAAGAGCCCTGGAGGAGGGATAGCTCAGTGGTTTGAGCATTGGCCTGATAAACCCAGGGTTGTGAGTTCAAACCTTGAGAGGGCCACTTAGGGATCTGGGGCAAAATCAGTACTTGGTCCTGCTAGTGAAGGCAGGGGGCTGGACTTGATGACCTTTCAGGGTACCTTCCAGTTCTATGAGATGGGTATATCTCAAAAAAAAAAAAAAGCTGTTACGTGTGTCAACCACAGAAGTGCTATGGGGTGTTACAGTGGCGACCAGAGTGGAATGTATGGCTGCAAGACTTCTTCACCAGCGACAAAGGACAGGAATATGATGCATCTAAAAAGGCCCTCACATTTCCCAGAGTCACTACTCTTAGATAACAGAATGTCAATGATTGCACTGGCTACTTGTATCACAGTAGACTTGCCCACAACAGCATCGATGATGGTGAGCTGAGTGGGCTCCATGCTTGCCGTGGTATGACGTCTGCACAGGAAAAAAGGCGCAAAATGATTGTGTGTCATTGCTTTCATAGAGGGAGGGGCGACTGACGACATATACCCGAAACTATGTTTTTGCCCCATCAGGCATTGGGAGCTTAACCCAGAATTCCAATGGGTAGCGGAGACTGCAGGAACTGTGGGATAGCTACCCACAGTGCACCGCTACATAAGTCGATGCTAGCCACGGTAGTGAGGACGCACTCCGCCGACTTAATGCGCTTAGTGTGGACATATGCAATCGACTGTATAAAATCAATTTCTAAAAATCGACTTCTATAAAATCAACCTAATTTCGTAGTGTAGACATACCCTTAGAGTTCTGAAGGGGCTTAAGAATGAAGTGGCTAAGCTAACCATAACACGCAATCTCCCACTAAAAACAGCTTCTGCACCAGCAGACTTGAGGATAGCAAATGTTGTACCTATATTTAACTGCAACACAGGGGGCTCACCGACAGAGGATAACGAATGAAGGACTTCTGGATCTAAAAGGATGAGCATCTATCTATGCCTGTGCTAAAAGTCTCAGCTCTGTTAACTTGAGGCCAATAACAGATTCATAAATCTCTGTGATCCATTGTGTAAGCACGGGTTACATAAAAAAGGCTCTAGGAGTGATCCAAAGAAATTAGACAAGTCAGTCTTCTACCTGCCCCAGTGAGCTTCAAGGCAGTAAGGATCCAGTGCCTCAGAAGGATCCAGCCCATAGTGAGAATAAATTACAGACAACTTGATGTACAATAGTTCCGTATATCAGCTGTATGTATACACATGTATCCAAGAGGGGCCTGTTGTAGCAATTGAGGCCAAACAACCCTACTTTACTAGTTAACCTAACTGGTGAAAAGTGGATAAAGTTTCATGAATGGTTAAAATGATTGGTTATATAAAACTATTTAAGAAAATATGTGAGAAGGAGACAGAAAGACTGAATTAATGTCAACAGAAAGGATCTACCAATACCATTCAAGGACTGGGTTAAGATTATGACTGGTAAACAAAATTGATTTGGCAGAAATTAGGCCTAATTAGTTTGTCCACCAATGAGAGGATCGATTGGGGCCCTTAAACAGAAACTTTAGGGGAGAAAAGTTTTTGTTTTTGCTTTTTAACCATTACTGCCAGAACACCAGACCTCGATGCTCCACTGGGGATGCTTGACCATCATTGCTGCACCAGTGAGGTCCCAAGCCTGATGCAGGTGAGATCCTGCTCTGCCTTCCCCTCCCTGATGTACTCTTCTCTCCCCCCCCATTATTTTCCTCCTGTCCTATCACTCTCTGCTGGCTTTTCACCTGATCCTGAAATCAACTGTACTGCATGCCACCAATATAGGGACATTATACGGCCAATCACACTATGCCCAGGCTGAGAAGTACCAGTGAAGGAGAGGGACCTCAGCAGATCAACTAGATGATGTCCCTGACTCAGGAGGAGAGCGAGGGTCCAAAGCAACTGCTATCGTGGCTGATCTGCCAGCTCAAAGCATCTGTGACATAGCAGCCACCCTGTATCCTGAGAACATCAACAAAAATCATATCTTCCCCCATCTTTACTATCCTCTCTCTCTTCTCTCCCTTCTTTGTCTCTGTTTTGTCTAAAGCAGGAAAGTGATTATCATTCCTCAGAAATGAACAACGGAACTAACCCTTTCTTCCCCACCAAGGAGGGCTGTTCAACTAAATAAGAGACTTTAACCAATATTCAATGTCTCCAAAAAGGGACTTTAATAGGCTTTAAGTAAGTTTGTTTGCATAATCACTCGATTACAGTTTCAATGTGTTTTGCTTTGTTTTGATTTTTTTTTCTTTTCTGTTTCAATTAATACATTTCTGACTTTTGGCATGAATTTCATAATACGTTTGCCAAGATGCTACGGTCTCTATATACCAAACCCTGAACCTTGTCTGATGCTAGAAAAAGGTAGGGGTTTGTCCACATTGAAAAGTTACATCACCATAGCTATGTCTCTCAGGGGTGTGGATTTTTCACATCCCTGAGAGACCTAGTGAAGCCAACCTAACCCCTGCTATGGATGTTGTTAGTATTCTCCTAAGAATTCTTCTGCCAACCAAACTACTGCATCTCAAGGAGGTGGATTACCTACAGTGATGGGAAAACCCATCAACAATAAGTAACAAACCATCATGGCTATTCTTATTTATTTGCCAGAGTCAGAACAAATCTACTGTTCACTACTCAACTGAAAGCAAAGTAGTAATGAATGGTATTTGATAAACTGAGCACAAATCTGGAGTTACTACCTTAATGAGATCATGCAATGTTAGTGAGATTTGGAGCTAGCCTGCATGCAGTATGGAACCATAGCATGGAATTCGTCATTAATCTACACTAGTTTTATCCTTGCCAATATGATAGGAAATGACAGCCCAAGAACTGCAGCACCTTTCCTGCTGAGATGGAGAGGGCAGGACAGGATAACCAAACAACCTGAGACCCTAGGTCAGCCAGGTTGGGGGAGGTGGGGCAGCAGTGGAGCAGGATTAAGTCATCATGACCCCTCAGGTGTCAGGCCTTGTGCCTGTGGCTCTCCTGGGGTGGAATTCTGCAATCCTCCTAGTCTCAAATTGGGCCCTGGGCTACAGTGCCCTGTGAATCAACCATGCTTACCCAGATGTCTGATTGAGTTTGGGCGCTTGCAGTTCTTCTCTTCAGGAGTCTGGCCAGTAGTGAATACACTGACCACACAACCTTCTTAACCCACAGTATTGTTTATTTAGTAGTAGGAAAAAATATTTTAGAAAAAAAGGGGATTTTATAACAAGAAACAGCCTACATGTCAGTCACCTAAAAGGCTATCATCCCCCAATGGCAACCTATGCAAGCCTAACGTCTAACACTCCCAGCAATGTCCTGTGTGCCCTGCTGGTTCCCCCAAACAACTAGTGTCTCTCTTGAGAAAGGCCCCTTTTAATCCTGCCACAGTTCTTTTGTTCTTTTTCCATGTTCATGAGCCTTTTCTTGTCCTGGTTCAAACCAGGTTGGCTGGGGACAGAGGCAAAATCAAAGTTAGCTATAGTTCTGGCATTTTCTCTGAACAACTTTTAAGTGTTTACTGAGAAGCGGCTGTCTTGAGCTATACTTTTCCTTCCTGCCTGTTTTCCCAGACAGACTCATATTGAGCTAAACCAATATAGTCATAAAGAAAACAAACTGACAACCAGGTCAACATATAGCATTCATAAATCATTACAGAGCAGACTGAAAAGAAAGAAATGCAGGTGTTCTTGGTATGTGTGCACTCTGGTTATTTAAAGGGAACAGTTACTGAGCTTACATTTTATTATACCATAGAAGCTGACATTGATTTAGGTCAGCACCAATGCCTTTTCAAAAGCTAAGGTAATTCTTTCTTTCTTTAATTGATACTTCCAGTCTGAAGGTTTATTTTAGACTTTCCATTAGAGAGTCTACACTGAAGACAATGCCATCATGCAAAAGGAAAAAAACTCCTCTCAACTACAACCTCTGTGAACACAATGGGCCGGATTCCCTTCTCACATGGTGTAAATCAGGAGTAAATTCACTGTAGTCAATAGAAGTGCATCAGTGTAAAATTGGTATAAATGAGGTAGAAACAGGCCCAAAGTGCTTCATGCAGTTATTAACAACATAGCTATTCTCATCCAATTTAGCTATGTCACAGCCTAGTAACAACCAACGAACACTAGGATCAGCTACACTACACACAGATTTGTTTTTAACAACTGTTGACAAGACTGTATGAAATAATTGTCATAATATTAGAACAAGGGCTAAGAGGCAATAGTACTTTGACCTTTCTACTTAGATTCTGATTTGATCTTTTGGTTTAGAATCAGTTTGAATTGGAAACCAAAAACCAATTTTAATGCTCTAGTTCTTAAAGTTTCCTGAGAAACAAAAAAGAGGCAAAAACATCACATGACATGCAAAGAATTACTAGTCCTACAAAATATTATCAAGAAATGAATGGGTAAACTACCAAAGAGAAGGATGATGAATAGTAAAGAACACATCAATGATACATTCACAAGGCTAAAGAGAGAAAGCCTGAAAAAATGAATTATTGTTCTAGTACAAATTTGTTAACAGGGGGAGGCAGATTTTCAACTGACTTGAATATCTGGAGTAGCAAAATGATATTTAGACTCATTTTGCCTTGTTGATAATCTGGATTATATTAGAAATTATGTCTCTGTTTGTTTGTGTTCGAGCTGGCCAACTATACCATAACCCTGATTTAATTGATAGTACTAATTCGTTTCCATAATTTTCATTCTGGTAAGCATATTCAACTTGTACATGTCCTTCATGAATTCTAGTACCAACTGAGCAGTGATTTCTCTTTAGTGTGCTGCCAGGCTTCAGGTTAAAATTCTAGATGGGTTAGAAAAAAGAACTACTGTATTATCATAACCCAGAAAGTACCTTACCTGCAGTAGCACTCCCACCTTTCCATGACTTTTGATCTCTCACTCACATTGAGATTTACAGGACAAAGGAAATCCTTTGCTCAGGTAAGTGGCCCTTCAAAAAGATGATTTGTAAATATGCCACTCTCCTACAGCACCTGCCTCTCCCAGTGCACTGCTGCATTTATTCCATGTGATGAGGATGTCCGGGAGGCCTTTTGCTTGTGCCCTTTCACATGAGGATTTATATCATACTTCTTTTCTCTGTGACTTTCTGCATTCCCTTTGCTACCCAGACTAATTTTGAATCCACTTGAGATTTTTCCATTTTATCATCTATTTTTCTTGCATGATCTTTGAAGAGGAGTCCTAAACCAGGACTGTGACATGTTGTATTGCTAAATTGATTATATCACAGACTGATCATATGCTCTGCATCACAGAGTCAAGAAAGAGGCTGTAAAGAAGAAATTCTGCTAAAAAAAATTAGATAAGTAGCAAAAGCCAAAGAAAAGTTAGAGTCCTTTCACAGGTAGATAGATTTGTGGTTATATGTGTGAACATCTTCCCCAGTGTGAAATTCCCTTTTGAAACGTTTGAAAAAAGTTAATATTTATTTTAATAATTCAAAATCCATTAATCACTTCCATTTTTACATGGACGTTATCAGGCACCTATTCTTTCTTGGCACTTCAACAGCCATTGACATTTCCTAGCAGGGCAATGTGGCTGCTCAGATCATTCTTTGAGCCTGATTTTACAGTCCCTTGCACACACAAAATTCCCATTGAAATCAATGGGAATTTTGCATAGGATCTGAAGAATTAAGGTCCTGCATAGGTGATGTAGCCTTCAGGGGAAAAGAACTAGGCACTCAGCTCTTCATTCCAAGAAGCTGCATCCATAACACTTGGCAGTTCTACTCTTCCGCACAGACAATAAGCTGATGTCCCCAAATACAGTGTATTTCACATGTATTTTCTTATAAAAAGATTTCCAGCAGCTAAAGGATTCTTCACTATATTGGGCCAGATCCTTAGCTTCACTAAGGTCAGTTTGTGCCATGATATACAAACATTTTTTCAGAGTGCAAAGTATCATAGAGTCACATCACAATGGATAGTAAACACAACACACAAGAGTCATTGTCCAGCCATCTTCCTCCACATTCGGCAGTCTTCACCCTGCTTTGAGAAGCATGCCATACTGCATCCTGTCCAGAAAACCACATTGTCAAACCACACTCGCCAAAGGTACCCCCTTCTCTGGCACCTGACACCAGTCCCTGCAAAACTTGCTTCAGCAACCTTCCTCTGTTCATCTGATCCACATGTTCTGAAAACTCAAGTTTTCTTTGTCTGATCATCTTGATATTAGGTATCACTCCGGTTACGCTGTAAATTTAGGCAATTACCTCCTCATTAGTCATGTAAAGAATAACTAACGTGCAGCAATCGCTGTAGCGTTTCAGTTTGAAGGCAGTAAGCCTCTTAATATCCTGTTTCCTTAACGTCCATGTCTCACATGCATATTGCAAGATGCTAGAGACAAGAGACTGCAGCAATTTCATTTTATACTTCATGGTAATACCTTTATTTCTCCAAACATGGCTAAGAGTCACTGAAGCAGCAGGTGAGTCCAATTCTATGTGGGCTCTCTAAGTGGTGTTTAGCATCCATTGTAGTCATGGTACCCAGGTATTTGAAGTGCTTAATGCACTCAAGCTCTCTCAGATTCCATCTGCTAAAATGAGAGAATCAGTGTCAACATTTAAAGTATCTTCACTAGCTTTAGAGTTAAAACCCCAATGAGATAAATAGAAGATGGGGCAGAGGAGTTCACACTCTTTCAGCCATTGTTTCAGACGGTCAGCAGATTCTGGAAGACGATAATCTGCTGATTTTTGTTCAGTCTACACTAGAAGGATTTCTTTGTAACCATGAGGGTTTTTTTTTTTTTTTAAGTTAAAATTCTGCAGGAGCTGAATGTGTCAGGAAGGCCACATAAATACATCAAGTGGGCCAGATCTGGTCTGGGCATTTGACAATGCTGGTTTAGTGCTATAGTCTAGTCTTTAATCTATCTGCATCTCAGTCTTCCCACCTGTAAGATCGGGACCATTTTCACAGGGGTAATGAGGATGAATTACTTAGCATTTCCATAGAACTTTTAAGCTGCAAAACATTTACACAAGTATAATGTAAACAACAAAATGGTTCAGGTTTTGTTTTTTTTTAAATCAAGGAAACAAACAGAGTGTTTTCTGTTTTGCACTGTGTTTAAGAAGTGAAGTGAAGAAACTTCTACTTAAAACAGACTAGTGCTTTCCTGTCTAATTTCTTTTATACATAGTTCAGTTGGGGGAATCTCTGGGCTCCCCTTGTAAATAATCTCTTGGCACACGTATCTGGAAAAAATAAGAATACTTGAGGTATAACAGATGACAGTTTGGAAAACAATAAAACAGAAACCAGATGGGACAATAATATTTTGTGCATGGATTCTTTGTTTGTGCTTCTCGCCTCCCCAGCACTGCCAGTGTGAAGTGTTCCAAATACAGTAGGAACATGCTGAAAGTTGTTGGAATCTGTTCCTCTGAATACACTGGGTAGAGAATACTGGGACACACTGAAGGCAAGGTTATACTGCATAGCTGTGGGGATTGAAGAGACTTTACTTGCATGGAGGATATTTATAAAATTAAACAATCTGAATCTTCTCTTTTTTTCAAAATGTATTTTCACTATAGTGTAGTTTGTCCCATTTGAAGGGTATTTGAGGGAGTGGCCATTTGTTTCTTCCCAACCGGGCCCCTGATCCTGCATTCCTTGTGCACTGGCACTCCTACTGTAGTCACTTGGAATTTTGGGTGTGCAAGAAATACATTATGAGGCCTTAGAAGGGGAAAACAAGGATGATAGAAGCATGACTAGTTCCCTATTACTATATTTTACATTGCAGTGGCACCCAACAAGTGAGAGGCATTGTTTTAGCACAGAGGAGATGCGGCCCCAAGCTCAGTGGCTTGAGCATTGGCCTGCTAAACCCAAGGTTGAGAGTTCAATCCTTGAGGGGGCCACTTAGGGATCTGGGGCAAAAATGTCTGGGGATTGGTCCTGCTTTGAGCAGGGGGTTGGACTAGATGACCTCCTGAGGTCCCTTCCAACCCTGATATTCTATGATTCTATGAACTTACAAGCAGAGTATTTACAGGTCACTAATTTTTGGACAGGTGCTCTATGGTTCCCTACACTTACAGCAAATAAAGAATCACTGTTAAAGTAATAGCTTGCAAAAGTGAGGTTTAGCTAAACACTTGCTAACTAGGTCCACATTTGGGTCATACTGGAAACTACCTTTTTGCAAACTGAATGGACAGGGAAGCTCTTATTTTATTCATTGAATGATACAAGACAAACCGAAATTTGAAACTCCACTTTTTGATTCCTGTTTCCCAATTAGATTGTAGTGAAAAAACACACACACTATCTTTTCTATATGGTGCTTATGCATATTGCAGCTGTACATATTGAAAGGTAATGTGTTTTCTCTGATTTTGTACAAAAAAGAAAGTCAGTCAATCAAACTCCCTCCAGAACTCTGGGGAATTTGCAAATTATGGATGCTCTTGCACTAAACAATCATCCTAGATTGTGAGCTTCTGGGGCAGGCCTGTCTTTGCTTGTACATTGGCTAATACAAAAGACCGCTAATCCCTGTTTGGAATCCTGTGTTGCAGCCACAATACAAACAATAAATGAAACACAACATTCTATGCAGGGCCGGCTCTGGCTTTTTTGCCGCCCCACGCAAAAAAGCCTCCCGTCCCCCCACCCCCAGCGGGGAGCGCGGCAGGGGAGGGCGCAGAGCCCGGCCGCGGCCCCGCTCTCCCCGGCCGGCCGGAGCGCCGGGGGGAGGGCGGCGAGCCTGGCTGGGGCCCCACTCTCCCCGAGCGGCCGGAGCGCCGGGGCAGGGCGGCGAGCCCGCCGCGGCTCCGCTCTCCCCGGCCGGCCAGAGCGCCGGGGGAGGGCGGCCCCGATCATCCCGGCCGGCCGGAGTGCCGGGGGGAGGGCGGTGAGCCCGGCCGGGGCCCCGCTCTCCCCAACTGGCCGGAGCGCCGGGGGAGGGCGGTGAGCCCGGCCGCGGCTCCGCTCTCCCCAGCGGCAGGAGCGCCGGGGGAGGGCGGCGAGCCCGGCCGCGGCCCCGCTCTCCCCGGCCGGCCGGAGCACCGCCCCCCTCCAGGTGCCGCCCCAAGCACATGCTTGGAGGGCTGGTGCCTGGAGCCGGCCCTGATTCTATGCAGCCAACACAGTCATCTTCCTTTGGGGAAAACATACAGGTTTTATTCTGCTATACATGCATGTTTCACAATTGTAGTTTAGAATTTTTTTTTGTCCTTTACTCTCAGTAGTGTACATCCCAGGAGACAGGTGTCTGTCTACATGATAAAAAACCAACCTTAGAGCGGTCATCTTGTTAGCAGTCTCAGCAGATAAGCTAGGACTAAATAGTCTGGATGATTGTACCTTCTCATCTGAAGAAATGATATCTCTCCTGGTAAGGGTTGAAGTACATCACTGGGATAATATATAGGAGGCTTGTAGCACTGTTGTTCATGATGTGCCTGTTCTGTGTATAAATAGATGATTTCACCATGATGAGTAACTATGACATCATTCTTAAAACATTTGATGAACATTTCATTCCAAAAGGAGATATAATTCTCATATGTGCATGCTTTTACCAAAGGGTACAAAGGCCCAGAGTAAGCATGTTAATCTTTATATGAAAAAACAAAGTATGGTGACATTAGGAAGAAGAATACATAAGACTTTCTAATAGATGAGATTTTTGAAAAGGAATTTTCAGGAAAAAAATACAAACTTAGAAAAGTTACTGAGTTTAGTGTGGAGCAGGAAATACAAGGGACATGGCAATATGAGTTTGTGAACATGCAAGTCACCCAGAAAGCAATAGTGGAATTATGGTGCAAGAAAAAAGGAAAAGGAAGCACTATTAAAATAATCTCTTAAAAGCACAATTTCCTGAGCACAGTGTAGCATGGGAGAACACAAGATGGAGGAGTCTGCTCAGCCAATGACAAGATGTTCAGGAAACGTTAGAAAAAAGGAACATGTCTGTCAAAGCAAATAAATCAGGGAGATTCCTATTTCCTGGGACCTCTATCCAAAGACAGCATTCATTAACAGGTTGGGCTGTTAATCTCAATATTAGCATACTGCTAAATTTAAACAGATTCATGAGCAGAGGTGACTGATTTGTAAAGACTTTTAAGGAGGGGAGTCCGAGAGCAGCCCAGGAAAGTCATTTAACCCATCTGAGCTGTGCTGAGCATTTTCCTTAGCTGCTATTTGATGTACTTTCTATTCCTTAGCAAGGAAGCATATGTTCATCTACAAATAATCCCTGGTGTTATAAAACTATTTCTAACTGTCATCTGTCTTTGCCAACAGTTGCTGAAAGGAGGCCAGAAGGAGAATAGTGCTTCATGAAAGCTGCTTCCCAGTGCTATAGCAGGGCTAAACAACTCTTTTGTTTGCATTCAGAAGATCATTTTCTCTGGCAGAACAAGACATAAAACTTTTAAAGACTTCAAAATAAAAACGTGGGTATTACAAGGGAGCTTTGGGGCCTGATCTTGCTATGTGCCAGACACCCTCAGTGCCCGCTGACATCAATGGGAGTTGAGGGTGCTGGGGACTTTGCAGGATGAAGCCATAGAGGCCCACTTCTGGCCTTTCCTCTGAGAGGGTTGTAGCTCCTTCTGCAGTGCAAGAGTGTGTTTTTACTCTGCAGGAGGGGCAGGCTGGGAAATCTTTAGACTCCTGCCTCTGTACTGTGCACAGTTGCTGAGCACCCAGCCTGGCTTGCCCCATAATGCACAAAATAGCTAATCAGATAAGTCAATATAACAGGGGGCTTGGAGGGCCAGGCAGTGTAGGGATTGGCGTGCCTGATGTCCAGCCCCTTGTTTCCCTGATCAACATGCCTCAGTCTTTCAGAAAGCAGAGGTAGGGGGACCCATGCCCTCCCACTCCACAGGGCCCTGTGTGAGCTGACCTCTGAACAGGGGGAACTCCAAGCAGGGAGTCCAAAAGCCACTGCCCTGGGCTACTTCCTACCAGAGTCCCTTCAGTTTGGGGAGTGGCCCATAGTGTCCAGTTTGCTGGGGCATCTTGTCTCCCATGGCACCCTCCAATGGATCTGGGCAGTGCCCTGCTGCAGTCCCAGGCTCCTTTGGGCAGGGCAACCATGAGTTTGGTGACGCCAAACTGCACAATGTCTCTAGGCTGCAGTCACCCAGTTACCTCAATTGCTGAAAGTTCTGAGGTCTCCTCCACAGTCTCCCTTGACTGGGAGACAGAACGAGCTCCCTGGTGGCTGCCTTGGCTAGCAATCCTTCTTTCAAGTAGCACCGTAACTAGCTCCTGCCTCTTCACCAGTTAGCCTTGAACTGGACCTGGCTCTCTCCTTTTCTCCCCACTCCAGGCCTGGCATTGGCTGCAGGTATGATGGGCAGGGCTAGCTGGGCCCAAAGGCTCTCCTTAACCCCTACCGTGCTGGCAGACAGTTTCTCTGCTTCATCACAGTCAGTGTATTTCCATGAAAGACAAGCATTTATTTAAGTATGACCCCGTTCTCTTATAAAAGGAGTATGTTTTTTGGGGATGGGGAGGGAGATAAGAATGTGCTAATTTAAGAAATGGTCAGGTCATTATGAAGCGATGCATGATGCTTAAAATGTTATGTGTATATATTACATATTTAAAAACAATTACCTAGGCTTCTGAGTTCTTAACACTGCCTGCTTGTCTGCATGATTAGGACTGGAAATTGCAGCTGTCTTACGTTTTAAAGCATGGCTGCACTTGCAGTCATTAACAGTAATTCTCAAGGGCTAAAATAATGGGAACTAGATATTATTCCCAGTGATTTCAGGAGAAACATTCATAAAAATAAGAAGATTTGCCCAACTAGGTATCCAAGGTCAACATTTTTATGTGTGTCCGCGGTCAAAACATAAACCCAAGTTTGTTACATGTTACAATTGTGCAATATCCACCACGTGGATGAAATTGCTTGTAAACTGAAGATACTCCATGGGCCAGGAAGCTAAGAACTAGCTAGAATAATACTCATTACAAATATAAAGCCTATATTGTGTTAGTATCAGAAAAGATTGCGCTAGAGCTCTGATCTGAATTTTTCTAAAGTAGAAAAGTTGCACAAATAGGGAAGGCAACTTTATGTAGTTGTTAAAGTCGAAGCTTGGGAGACCTGATTTCTGTTCTCACCTCTGCAAATGATTGTCACCTTACACAAGTCACTTAACCTCTTTGGATTCAGTTTCTCCATATGTAAGAAAGGGATAATATTTACCCACCATTGCAAGTACTTTCAGATCTTTGGACAAAAGGCTATCTATGGTTATTATAAGCAGTGTTATTAATATAACTGTAATTAAACCTGTCTTAAGTAGTCAATAAGGGGACTGTCAATAAGGGGACCAGCAAAAATTGTCTATTCAAGGTGGGCTTTAACTAAAGACAAAGCACAGTGATATTGAAAACTTTGAAGTATCCACAAAGTGCTCTCAAGATAAGAGATTGCCCATCAGTGGTGGCTGTTGGTGCAGGTTTCACAGTATGAAATAAATGTATGGGCACTTGCCTCAAAGAAGTAAATTCTTGCTCTGTGTGTATGCACCATAATTGAGAGCTCATGAATTTTAGATGCATTTTTCTGAAATAATTTTTAGAGCTTGTAGAAGAAAGGCAAGAATATTCCATGAAAAATGTAGGAAGAACCACTTTTCTTTTGTTTTGCTCAAAATGTTTAGTGAAATTCACAAGTCAACAACTGAGATGCTATTCACACTAGGTTGAACAAAAGCAGAAAATATCACATATGCTCTACAGCAGAGGTGGGCAAACTTTTTGGTCCGAGGGCCACATCTGAGAGGGAAAATTGCATTCAGGGCCATGAATGTAGGGCTGGAGCAAGGGGTTGGGGAGCGGGAGGGAGTGCGGGGTGTGGGATGGGGTGCAGTGTGCAGGAAGGGGCTCAGGGCAAGGGGTTGGGGCAAAGGAGGGTGCGGGGTGTACGAGGGGGCTCAGGGCAGGGGGTTGGGGTACAGGAGGGGATGCACAGTGTGGGAGGGGGCTCAGGGCAGGGGGTTGGGGTGCAGGAGGGGTGCGAGGTACAGCAGGGGGCTCAAGGCAGGGGGTTGGGGTGCAGGAGGGGTGTGGCAGGGGGTATGGGCAGGGGGTTGGGGTGTGAGGTTTACAATGGGTTCAGGGTACGGGCTCCAGCCCAGCGCCACTTACCTGGAGTGGCTCCGGGGTGGCAGTGGCACACACCAGGGCCGTGCCACTCCAGGAAGCGGCCAGCACCACTTCCCTGCAGCCCCTGGGGGTGGGAGGGACAGAGGGCTCTGTGCACTGCCCTTGTCTGTGGGTACCTCCCCCAAAGCTCCCATTGGCTGCGGTTTCCCGTTCCCGGCCAATGGGAGCTTCAGGGGAGGTACCCACAGGCAAGGCCAGCATGCTCAGCCTTCTGATCCCTTTCCCCAGGGCTGCAGGGACGTGATGCCGGCCACTTCCCAGAGCGGCGCAGGGCTGTAGCACCACGGGGTTGGCAAACCCGCGGGCCGGATCCAAAGTCCAGAGGGGCCGGATCCAGCCCGCAGGCCGTAGTTTGCCCACCCCTGCTCTACAAGCAAGCCTCTTCAGCAAGGTTCAGATATATTCTTAGACATATTGGTACAGGCACAATAGAACATATGCGTAAGACCCCAGCTCCCAGTGTCATATGATGAAGTCAGAATCAAACTTTCCTTAAAAATGACTAACTATGGACTTGTCTACACAGGTATACTCAGGAAAGTTAATCCAAATGAAATCCATTAATGAAATCTGTGAATTTAAAATGGATATTGAAACCACATTAAACCCTGCATGGAAGCTTTTATTCAGAATTGAAGTCGCCTTAATTCAGTTTAGGTCAATTCAAGAAGTTAACTCATTTTGTAAATTAAACTAAACCAAATTTAAGTCACTTTAATTCTGAATCAGCATGTCCACATAAGGGTTACAGTGATTTAACTATCTACTATAAAAATTAAGTCAGATTAATTTTCCCAAGTAGCCCCATGTATACAAGCCCCATTATATTTTTAGCGGTTATAGTTGCAAAGGAAAGCTTGAAAATGTGACCCAAATAAAAGTGATGCTGTGATGTCTTCCTGAATCTGCAGGCAGAAAAAAGAACAGCAGCCATTAAATCCCAGGAGAAACCATCTGGTCTTGCACCCACCACCAGGATAGGCCTGGCTCCTATTGCTCTGGGAGGCAGCAGGACTGGGTTATTAGGAAGCATGGATGCCCCACTGGACTCTGTGGGATGGCTCTGACTTGATGAGGCTCAGATGCACCGCAGGACTCTGCTCCTCTCCTTGGCTCCACAGGTCAGACTGGGTTGGAGAGACAAAGTGGTGATCCTTTCCCAAACACCATCTAGCAAAATGAGTTGCCACTCAGTGGATTGAGAAGGTCCATGATCGCCTTTATCCTTTCTTACATGCTTTGATAGTAGTGAAATAGTCAGCA